GAAGATTTAGTTATGGGAACACTGTGAAGCTACCTTGCACTTAACATCTCTCTAGGATTTTTTATTTTTTATTTTTTGGGTCTGGTAGTGGGGCCTGAACTCTGGGTCTGGGCGCTGTCCCTCAGCTCTTCAGCTCAAGGCTAGCGCACTCTACCACTTGAGCCACAGCGCCACTTCCGGCTTTTTTCTTTTTGCTTATGTGGTGCTGAGGAATCGAACCCAGGGCCTCAGGCATGCAAGGCAAGTGCTCTACCACTGAGCCACTTTCCTAGCCCCTCCGCAGGATTTTTTGATGGTGGTGGTTCTAGGATACAGCTATGTAACTAACTCAGGACCACTTTTCTAAATGCTAATACCTAGGCTGGTTTTTCTGTTCATCTGAGATATCTAGGACAATTTGTGGATGAAGAGAAAGCAATGAAAATAGGAAACAGAAACAGTATGCATGACAATTACGTTTTTAAGTATCACAAGTCAGTAAGCATATCTGGTTAGCAGATGTGAATTTTGTAAAATATCTGTCTCTGTGCCTGGTCCTTTAGCCATTTTAACACACTGATATCTGATCTCACTGAATGATATCAGATGATATCAAATTCTCAGTGCCAGAAACATCTGTGCAACTTCAGGTAAAAGCTGCAAAAGGTTATTTGTAGTTAGATCCTTACCTTACAACATATTTTTTTAAAAACCCTCAAAAACATGCCAAAATAGATTAAAGGCTTAAGCATAGGAGTTAAGCTTTTCGAAGCATTGTCAACAGCCAGGAGTACCAAGGGACACAGAGCTGGCACTAATAGTACCTGGTACCAACTCCTAGCTCCAAGCATTTTGGATAAGAACAGTTCTGATAAGAATCTGTGATTTGCCAAATGTTTGCTCGGAAATGAGCAGAAATTACTAAATGTAACCCCTTGCTTTTTCATGTCTATGACTTTGCAGAAAGATAAAACAACATGAGGGGCAGCATAGTCTTATTCCAGAGATGAAGCTTGCTATGATGAAAGAACACTGTAACAAGTGGGTCTGTTTGTGTTATATACTGGCCCAGCCTGAATATAAAATCCACACTTGCCAGGAGCTGGCAGCTCATGCCTGTAATGCATGCCTGTAATCCTAACTATTCAGGAGGCTGAGATCTGAGAATTATGGTTCAAAGCCAGCCCAAACAGGAAAGTCTGTGAGAATCTGATCTCTAATTAACCACCAAAAAGCTAGAAAGGGAGCTAAGGCTCAAGTGCTCAGGGATAGTACTCAGGCCCTTAGTTCAAGCCCTGGGACTGGGACAGAAAAGTAAAAGCAACATAAAGCCCACAGTCATGTTTTTACCCGATCACTGGCACAACCAGAATCCATTTTCCCCTTGTGGGCTGTCTCAGTTCTATTCCCACTTCTGAGCTACATACAGAGCACATTAATTTTCAATTATGCTTACTCAGGGCTCCAATCTGCAATTCTTACCTAGGCAAAACTATAATGGGGATTCTGAATAATTAGCTCCTGCAACATTACCCAGGCTGAGGGGTTCTGTTCACTTATTTCAAAGGAAACCCATGAGATTTCAATGAGTCTGCAACATTAATGAGAGGAGGATTTCATCTTTCTAATTAGCCAGACTGGCCACTGCAGATGGCTAAGAAACAGCCCCAGGATATTCTATGAATTTGTCACAAAACATTAAATAAGAACGGGAACAACAATGATGCTGAAAACAACACTGCACACTGGGCACTGGTGGATATTCAGGAGGCTGAGATCTGGAGCACTGTGGTTCAAAAGCCAGTTTGGGTAGAAAAGTCTGCAAGAATCTCATCTCTAATTAACCAGTAAAATGCTGGACTGATGGCATGGTGTACTCAATAAATTACTCAATAAATGATTGAGTACCAGCTTTGAGCAAAGAAAGCTGAGCAAGAAGAGCACAAAGAGCCTGGCACTGGTAGCTCACGCCTGTAATCCTAGCTAATCAGGAGGCTGAGATCTGAGGATTGCAGTTCAAAGCCAGCCCGGGCAGGAAAGTCCATGAAACTCTTATCCCCAGTAAACCACCAGAAAACCGGAAGTGGCACTGTAGCTCAAGTGGTAGAGTGCTCGCCTTGAGCTGAAGAGCTGAGGGACAGTGCTCAGGCCCAGAGTTCAAGCCCCATGAACTGACAAAAAAAGAAAAAAAAATAAAGAAGAGCACAAGCCCTGAGTTCAAGCCTAAGTATTGGCATAAACCCCCCCCCCCCCGGGAGCAAAAATAAAACAAAGACACAAACAAAAAAACTTCCACTGCATATGATTACAGCACACATTAGAGAGAAAAAGGGAAAGTGTCCCAGAGCAGAGCATTAAAAAGCAAAGATTCCTCAGGATCAACTCTAACTCCATGGAGATTCAGTGGAGAACTTTTCTATCTACTTTGTCTTAGCTGTAGATGCACTAGATAAAGTTAGAAATGAAGAAGTGAGGGCTGGGAAGGTGGCTCAGTGGTAGAGCGCTTGCCTTGCATGCCAGAGGCCCTGGGTTCGATTCCTCAGCACCACATAAGCAGAAAGAAAAAAGCCGGAAGTGGCGCTGGGGCTCAAGTGGTAGAGTGCTAGCCTTGAGCTGAAGAGCTGAGGGACAGTGCCCAGGCCCAGAGTTCAGGCCCACAACCGGACTCAAAAAAAAAAAAAAGAAATGAAGTGATGTTACTATGGAAACACATGTAATAGTTATCTGTCCACAGTCCCGAGCTGTTGACCACCTCCAGAAATTACTCTTGGAGTAATTACTCGCAGAGTTAAATATTAATTACATCGTGTCTACACGTTGCCCGACAGGTCTGAAGTGGCTAGCTCCTGTGTCTGAACTATGAGTTGATCTGGCATTCCACAGCTCTCTCCATAGGAGTTGGAAGGATGAGAAAGTCTGGTCCTTCATTGTCCATTCAGAGTGATCCAGAGATGGGCTGGTCCAGGACCTCCCCATTCCCAGGGCCCACATCCTCACCCTACCAGGCCAGGAGTCAAGCAGCTGCTCCCTACAGTTTCCAATCTCAAGCTATTGGAGCAGATGTCACCCCACCAGTCTTTTTTTTCTGCTGGTCGTGGGGCCTGAACTCTGGGCCTGGGTGCTGTCCCTCAGCTCTTCAGCTCAAGGCTTGAAGACACAGCACCACTTCCGGCTTTTTCTGCTTATGTGATGCTGAGGAATCGAACCTAAGGCCTCATGCATGCAAGACAAGCACTTTACCACTGAGCCACCTTCCCAGCCCCATCCCACCAGTCTTTATATTCCATCCAATACCACCAAAAATTCTAGGCGAGGAGTTTTTAAAAAGAACCCAAATAGGTGGGTAGCAGCGGATCACAGCCGTAATCCTGGCCATTCAAGAGGCTGAGATCTGAGGATCTTGGTTCAAAGCCAACCCAGGAAAGGAAGTCTGTGAGACTCTTATTTCCATTTAACCAGCAAAAAGCCAGAAACACAACCGTGGTTCAAGTGGTAGAGTACTAGCTTTGGGCAAAAATAAACAAAAAACTTCAGGGACAAGCCCCAGAACCACCACACACATACACACAAATAAATAAACCAAATGTTCAGAGAGCAGAGTGGGTCTAAATGGACATTTCAGGCTAAGGTGAGAGGTATTACCCCATGACATGAGCTGCAAAACAGTTGCAAAGGGACAAAGAGTAAATTGGAGAAATCCTAGTTTACATCCTCACCTCAAATAGCATGACAGGAAATAATGTGAATTATAGATCTACTAAAGTTTGGACTCATTTTGCTGTCTATAAATGTTGTCCTAAGATCTGGGACACAGGAACTTAAGAATTAAAAGATATAAAGGGTGGCGCATACCTGTAATCCTAGCTACTGGAAACTCAGAGCTGAAGATGGAGGTTTGAAGCCAATTTGGGCAGGAAAGCCCATGAGACTCTTATTTCCAATTAATTACCAAAAAGTTGGAAGTGAAGTTGAGGCTCAAGTGGCAAAGCACTTGCCCTCAGCATAGTGGTTCAGGCCTTGAGTTGAAGCCCCTGGGCTGACACAAAAACCACACTGAGATTCCATCTTACCCCAGTAAAGAATGGCCATCATCAAGCAACAAATATAGCAGAGATGTGAGGAAGAAGGAACCCTATTACACTATTGGTAGGAATATAATCAAGTACAACCTCTCTGGAAGGCCATTTGGAGACTCCACAGCAACTAAACATAGAACTTCCGCATATCCAGCCATACCACACTTGGGCATCTGCTCAGAACATTACAAGTCAGGATACTGACTTGCACATTCACATTCATTGCTGCACTTTTCACAATAGCCAAGTTAAAGACACAGCTCAGATGCTCTACAATGGACCAATGGCCCATATATATTTATATGTATACGTGGAATCAATATACACACATGTATACATACATATATGCATACATGTATATGTATATTGACATATATGCATATAAACATAATGGTATATATATGTATATACAAATATGGAATTTTACTCATCCATCAGGGAGAACAATATTGTCATTTGCAGAGAGATGGACAGACCTGGAAAAAATTAAGTGAATTAAGTCAAGCTCAGCGAGACAAATGGCCTGTTTTCTCTCATGTGGAACTTAGACCTAAATTATAAATACATACTAAATTATACAGGGGTCATATGCATATGCACAAACAAACTGACTGCAGTATACTGTACGCAGGGGAGGATTCCAATGGTGCTAACTCTTCTAACAACTAAGGGTTTGACAGAATGAATGTCAGGAAGCTGAAATGTGTTGGTTAAATCAAGGGGAGAGAGAGCAGACCAGTGGAGAGAGGAAGGAGTGAATACAGTCATAGTACAAAATGTACATAGGGAACTTGAGGAGATGGGTGGGGTTGGGAGAGGTGGGGGAGAAGGGTGGAAGGAGTGACACTGATGGAGATTCACTGCTCTTATAAACTGATTTGTTCAATCAACCAACTTGTACTTGAAGACAGTTAATAAATTAATTAATTAAAGAAATGGCCTTACCAGCACCTGCCGAGCTCAGAGGTGAGGACAAAGCACCAGGAAGATTCTACAACTTGCACAGTGTCTGTCACCTGATTCCAGTGAGGCTGAAGGCAGGAAGGAGACAGAGAGGGTCTGGAAGGAAGAATGAGGAGGAAATTGTGGGCCCAGCACTGCAAAGAGAAGTGCATGATGGCCAGCACCCCTTTGTGTCTGTCTCCCCATATCTCCCAGGGGAATATGGAAAGGAAGACATACTCCTGGGAAGATGAGCTCTGACTTGTGTCATACTCATGGGAAGATGAGCTTTGACCAAAGTGCCTGGTGTCTGGAGCCGGGTGAGCAGACTAGATTGAAGCTAGACCTGAGATGGAAGCTGCCACTGGGTAAAATCAAGAGTTCATCAGACAAGGGCCAGACAGGGCTTGTGCCAAGCAGAGTGTTGTGGAGTGCCAGGTCTGTTGTCTGAGTGGATCACCCCACTGGCTTTTTTTCTGTAATAGGCCCAACCAGGCTCCCTCCATAGGAAGGAAGAGGTGGCAGCACGCCTGCTTCCTTTTCAAGGGCAGAGGGTGACCTTGCAAAGGGTGTGTGTGTGTGTGTGTGTGTGTGTGTGTGTGTGTGTGTGTGTGTTGGGTCTACAGAGTTCCTAAGATTCGTGGGCCAGTGCCATCTCCCCCTGTCTTCTCTCCCAAGCCAAACCAGGCCTGTGGCAGGAAGCAGAGAGCAGTGTGTGTGTGTGTGTGTGTGTGTGTGTGTGTGTGTGTGTGTGTGTGTGTGTGTGTGTGTGTGCGTGCTGGGTCTTGTGTGTGTGTGTGTGCTGGGTCTACAGGTGTCCTAAGATGCGTGGACCAGTGCCATCTCCCCCTGTCTCTCCCAAGCCAAACTGGACTAGAAGTTTCCCTCAACTTGTGGGGTGAAGGCTAACAGGGAATGCAGGAAACCAAGAATCAAGAGGAGACAGAAATCTCGTTGGGGTGAGGGGTGTGGGGCTGGGGGTGGGGGGTGTGGGGCTGGGGGTGGGGGGTGTGGGGCTGGGGGTGGGGGGTGTGGGGCTGGGGGTGGGGGGTGTGGGGCTGGGGGTGGGGGTGGAGGGGGTGGGGTTGGAGGGGTACCTGGGGCCGGCCACGTCCAGAGGAGCTGTGGGTCCAGCAGAGGGAAGCATCCTTGGGCAGCCATCCCCCGGAGGCTGAATCTTGAGTCCATTTTGTCCTGCAGCGAATACACGACCTGAGACGGAAATAATCTGTAAGAGCAGAGACAGGTGTCTCACAACTTCAGAGACGGAGAAGCCTCCCTGTCCTGCGAGGGCCCGCGGGGCCGGGCACCTCCTGCCTCCGCGCACCGCGGAAGGAGGGAACCGCACCTTGCAAAGGGGCCTAACTGCTTCCTTATATAGGGAACCAAGTCTCGCGATAGGACACCAACTCGCCCGCTAGAGAACCAACTCTCGCGAGAGCGAACCGCCTCTCACCTTGGTGGCCTTCACGTGGCGCCCCTGGAGCCCTTCGCGTCTCCGCTCCGCTGTCTCGGAGGGACACAGAGCTCTTTGGACCCACATGGACACCCCCCCTGGCTCGGCGTGAATGCAGCCGCCAGCACCGGTGTCTCCGACATGGGTCTGTTGTTGTTTCTCGGTCGGGGAGTGGGTCCTGGGCCTTGAACTCGGGGCCTGGGCGCTGTTCCCTCGAAGCGAGCGCTCTAACCACCTGAGCCACTGCGCCACTTCCGGTTCTCAGAGGCTTATTGGAGATAGGAGTCTCACGGACTTTGCTGCCCGGGCTGGCTTCGAACCGCGATCCGCAGGTCTCAGCCTCCTGAGTAGCTAGGATGACAGGCGTGAGCCATCGCGCCTCGCCTTTGTGTGGTTTTGAGTTTGGACTTAAAGGCTTGGTAAAGGCCGAATCCACTCACACCTGTGTCCTCTTTCTTCGCCCCACAGAGCAGATCCTTCAGGGTTGGCTCTGGGAGTCTCCATAAGATCACCCTGAATCTCTCATCGCTACCCTCGCCTGGAGTTTTCAGGCTTCCCTTCTTGGGTTTGTAATGCACTCATCTCCTTTTTTATGTCTTACTGCAAGGTCCCCAAGACCTGAGCCCATCTCTTTGAAGCCTCTGTCTCCTACAACCCAGTGACTTGAAAGTTTCACTGGGTTCTTGGGACATAGAACAGCAATTCTCTGGATCTGTCTCCCCTGTTGAACAAGGAAGCTACATACCTGTTGACACCAATGCTGGTTTCTAATTCCCTCATTTTAGACGAAGTCGTGAACACGTGCAGCATGTCTGATCCGGAGTGTTAACTGTATCCAGGACGTGAAAATCACAACTGATTTTGTTGTGATAACAACATACAAGTAAGGAACAACTTGATTTTGAGACTGAATAGAAGAAACTACTCACCTGTATATGGTAAGAGGAGCTCAGAAACAAGAAAGAGACTGAAGTCCAAATAGGAATGGTGTGTATACTTATGCTGGGGTTTGAATTCAGGGCCTTAGGGCCTACCCTTTTTTTTTTTTTTCTCCCAACGCTGTGTGCTACCATTTGAGTCACTGTTCTACTTCTGGGATTTTTTTTTAGTGATTCATTGGAGGTGAGAGTCATAGATTTTCCTGTCTGAGCTGGCTTCGAACTGTGATCCTCAGAGCTTAGCCTCCTGGGTAGCTAGGATTACAGGCATGAGCCACCAGTGCTAGGCTTCAGAAGTCTTTTCATAGTTCACATCATCTGGCTATAGGAAACCCATTTCAATACTCAGCTGACCATCACAGAAACATGACCCAGGGATCCAAGATGCTAAGCTCCCTCCTTTTCCCTCTGCCAGGAAGACCAGAATTTTGTTCTCCAGAGTCTGGCTAATGTCGGCTTGTTATGTGGTTTGAGTGTGTCCCCAAAGGATGCAGTGTGGCAATGTTGGGAGGTGGTGGAACCTTAAAGAGGTGGGGTCTAGTGCAATGCAGTTAGGACAGATGAATGACACACAGCCAGCACAGCCTTAAAGGTACCATGTGACACACCGATACACATAAATACCCTCTACCAAATCATGACAGTTGATCTGAACCCCCCTTCTTTTGGAAGGGCATTGTCTGCAGTGAGATTGCCCCTATCTGTGTCAGTTATCCTATTTACCAAACCGAGATGTGTCAGTGGGGGGTGGGGGCCACTCTATGTAATCTGTTTACCTTAAGGAGCTCAGTCACGTGATGGGCTCACAGACCATTTTATCAGGATGAAGGATGCTCTGGAGAGTAGACATCAGGACAGGCCCAGCCTGGATGACAGCCAGCCCTGCCGAGAGTGACTTTAATGAAACACAGAATAAACAGGAAGATTAAGAGGATACACAACTCAGTGTTCTGAGTTCACCTCTCAGTTGGAAATGAAAGCTGAGCGTTGTCTCTGGGCTACACATGGGGACATCTGCTTGGTGGCTAATCTTGTGCTATCCAAATCAGCCTGTGTGAGGCACACAAAGTTCCCTCTTCATGTTTGGACCTGCTTCTGGGCATTCTTTTGAAATTCACCCACTAGGCTATTTCCTTTAGAATGGGTAGAAAGGTTAGATTTAAGAAAATATGTACTAGACTAAAAATGTTACCCTAACAAGTATGAATGTTAAGAAAAAAAAAAAAAAACAACTGGCAGTACTCAGTTTTAACTACCTGATTGAACTCAGTACCTGAGTTTTGACCAGGGCTTTGTGCTTGCTATGCAGGTACTCTATCACTTGAGCCAAGCCCTTTTTGCTGGGGCCAGCCTAGACAGTGATCCTCCTTTTTACATTTCCTGCAGTAACCAGGATGACAGGTGTATGTCACCGTGCAGCTGTTGATTAAGATAGGGTCTTGAGAACTTTTTTCTCCAGAGTGTTCTCCAACTACAGTCCTCAGGATCTCTACCTCCTGAGTGGGAATACAGACATGCACCAACAGTGACTGACAAAGATAAAAACAAAACCTAGCCTCCTTCATAAAGCAATGCGTATACATAGAAGCTTAATAATATACAAACTTCACATCTGTTTTTCAAGAGATAGGAAAAAATGTACACCTATCTTTTGGAGATGAAGGTTTCACTTATGATCCATTCTCTCTTTTTCTTCCTTTTCGTTTTGCTGGTCCTGGCCCTTGAACTAGGGCCTGGGCACTGTCCCTCAACTCTTCAGCTCAAGGCTAGCGCTCTACCACTTGAACCACAGTGCTACTTCTGGCTTTTTCTGCTTATGTGGTGCTGAGGAATGGAACCCAGGGCCTCATGCATGCAAGGCAAGCGCTCTACCACTGAGCCACCTTCCCAGCCCTATCCTTGAACTGTTAACTCAAGGCTAGCACTCTACCACTTGAGGCACAGCTCCACTCTTGGCCTTTTGCTTATTAATTGAAATTAGAGTCTCATGGACTTTTCTACTTGGGCTGGCTTTGAATCATTATCCTGAAGATCTCAGCTAGGATTCCAGATGTGATCCATCGGCTCCCAGCTAAGATCTACTTTATTTCATTGCCATGTCATTAAAAAAAAGATCTTACTAAAGTGTGAGTGAAGTATTCATTGTGAAATAGTACAATCTTTATTACCAAACGGTGAGGTCTAATGTGTGTAAATGCATATGATTATTGATAGTGTTGTGGCACTTGTACCAGTAGATGGCGCTCTGATTCAAATTGCTAGTCTTCCCTCCCAGCAAGCCCGCCCCGCCGTACTTCTCTCTGCAGTAAGTGCAACCAACACTGCTTTGAGTGAGCAAGAAGCAACAGGAGGCAGCAAGTAGACATTCATGAGATATATAAGACACGATGTTGAAAACGAACTTTACAGCGTGGTGGGGGGAGGGAGGAGTTGGGGAGGGAAGGGATGGTAGGGAAAAACAAAGGAGGAGGTAACAATGCTCAATAGGAAATATATTCATTACTTTACTCATGTAACTGTAACTCCTCTGTACAGTATCTTTACAATAAAATTTTATATTATAAAAAAAGTAATCATTCCAAGTAAAACTGGCCTCTAAGAGGCTTTTTTGTGCTGGTCCTGGGGCTCTAATTGACAGCCTGGGTGCTGCCCTTGAGGTTATTTTTAATGTTTTTTTTATTTTTGATCAATGCTTAGCTCTCTACCTCTCAAGCCACAGCTCCATTACTGGAATTTTTGAGTGCTTCATTGGAAGTAAGTCTCATGGACCTTGCTTCTAAGGCTGCTTCGATTCTTGATCCTCAGATTTCAGTCTCCTGAGTAACTAGAATTACAGGCATGAGCCACCAGTGCTGGCTTGTAGGTTATTTTTTAAAATAAGGAAGATAAGACAAGGTGTGGTGTTACATGCCTATAATCCTGGTTACTTTGAGAGGAAGAGGGAGGAGGATTAAGCTTCAGAGATCGCCTAAGCCAAAGCTCAGGACCCTATGTGAAATGCACACTAAAAGCCAAAGGGATGGAGGTGTGACGTAAGTAATGGAGCAAGCACAAGTTCCTGAGTTCAACCCCTAGCACTGCCAAAAGCAGGTGGGGGGCATCAAGATATAAGACTCAGAAACAGTAAGGAACTTCCGTTGTTTCCCAGCCATTGAAAGGCAAAGCAGAGATGGGCATGTGGTTCAGGAAGGCCCTTATAACCAATTTCTTCCCTTTGCTGCAAACACATTCTCTCTTTCAGAAAAGCCTCAGAGCTGCTAGCACACGTTCCTGACATCTTTGAGTAGGGAAGCTCTGGGACTCGGGAGTCATTAGGAGCCACATCTGTTGAGGTAGGTGAGTAATCAATCCTGATCTGAATAAAAGATAATGCACAATGGTTTGGAAAGAGGCTGCTTTTCTGATGTTATACACTTCCCTTGCACTCAAAATGGAATATGTAAGGGAAAATAATTAGGCTGAATGCTTGGCTCAAGTGGTAAAGTGCCTGCCTAGCCAACATAAGGCCCTGATTGCAGACTCTAGGACCATTATTTGCTTGAATACCATTTGTGTGTGTGTGTGTGTGTGTGTGTGTGTGTGTGTGTGTGTGTGTGCGTGCATGCGTGCCCTGTCCCTTACCTTTTTCATTCAAGGCTGGTGCTCTACCATTTGAGCCCCAGCTCTACTTCTGGCCTTTTGCTGGTTTATTAGAGATAAGAGTCTCACGGACTTAGAACCACAATCCTCAGAGCTCCATCTCGTGAGTAGCTATGATTACAGGCGTGAGCCACCAGTGCCTAGCTCCATTTGGTTTTGAGAA